CAGTCTCATAACAGCTGAGTCTGTGAAGACAGTCTCATAACAGCTGAGTGTTTGAAGACAGTCCCAGAACAGCTGAGTGTGAGGACAGTTTATTTAATTTATTCCTGTTGATCTTTGTTCTTACTGTAAAGTGTCTTTGGGTGTCATGAGAGGCGCTTTTTTAATAAATTGATTATTATTATTATTATTAATCTACGTCAGATTCCAGGTGCTGTGACCGACATCTATGTTGGAAGAGACACAATCTGATCCAGTTCTAATATCACTGTTTGTAGAATTAGGAACGCGCACACGTCGCGCTGCACTATAACATACTATGTGCTAAATAACAAGTTTAATAATAATAAACAGCATTTATCTTAAGTTTGTGATATATAATGAAGCTCTCTGGACATTATGTAATTCAAATTATGTGATTAAAATGATGCTAAACATATTGCATGTTATTAAAGTTGAAAATGAAGACATCAGGTTTAATTTTTATTTTATTCATTTATTCAACACCACAATCTGTGTGTCACACAAACACTGATAATTAAACTGAACACACGATTAAAAACAAGTTAACTGTAAACTGCATTAATGAACTGGACTCTTCCTCTGTTTTCATCCTGGATGTCCCATGTTGTCCATCTGGCTCGTTCAGGAAGTCACTACTTTGATTAATGCAACTTAAAACATTGAATGGATTGAATAAAAGAACTGAGGGGAATTTTTAATGAATAGTTCATCCAACATCACTGTCTTCGACGTCCTCCTGCAGTTCATCTGGTTTCATTGGGGTGCTGTATTCAGCTCAGTCTTGTGAGACTGAGCTGAATACAGCACCTTAGACTGACTGAGGAAGTCTTTCGGTTTAAAGACGAAACGTTTATACCAAATTTTTTTTTTGAATGTTCAGAGGACCAGATTTAACTTTTCTACCTTGATTATTGAGCATGCATCAGGATAATCACCTATGCAGTAATTATCAAATAGGAGGCTCGTACCTATTTTCTTAGTTAAGTCCAAGTGGCAACTTTTTTTTTGGCCAGGCAGTGTACAGGTCCTTCTCAAAAAATTAGCATATTTTGAATAAGGTCATTATTTTCCATAATGTAATGATAAAAATGAAACTTTCATATATTTCAGATTCATTGCACACCAACTGAAATATTTCAGGTCTTTAATTGTTTTAATACTGATGATTATGGCATACAGCTCATGAAAACCCAAAATGCCTGTCCCAAAAAATGAGCATATCATGAAAAGGTTCTCTAAACAAGCTATTAACCTAACCATCTGAATCAACGACGTAACTCTAAACACCTGCAAAAGATTCCTGAGGCTTTTAAAAACTCCCAGCCTTGTTCATTACTCAAAACCGCAATCATGGGTAAGACTGCCGACCTGACTGCTGTCCAGAAGGCCATCATTGACACCCTCAAGCAAGAGGGTAAGACACAGAAAGAAATTGCTGAAGGAATAGGCTGTTCCCAGAGTGCTGTATCAAGGCACCTCAGTGGGAAGTCTGTGGGAAGGGAAAAGTGTGGCAGAAAACGCTGCACAACGAGAAGAGGTGACCGGACCCTGAGGAGGATTGTGGAGAAGGGCCGATTCCAGACCTTGGGGGACCTGCGGAAGCAGTGGACTGAGTCTGGAGTAGAAACATCCAGAGCCACCGTGCACAGGCGTGTGCAGGAAATGGGCTACAGGTGCCGCATTCCCCAGGTCAAGCCAC